AGACAGTGTTACAGGTTGGAACACAAACAGACTCAGCCCCTCTTCAAGGAGTGTCAGTGGCACAGACAATCTGTGTCAGTGCCACGGTGACGTACTACTATAGAAATAGAGGAGATTCCAGGAGTCCCTAACTCAATTTGGAGAAGTCAGAAAAGGTTTCTTGGAGGTTATGCAGATTTTACAAATTAAAAGTTTTTTAACAGGTTAAGTGTAAGGCAAGGAAGCAGAAACAAATGAGCTATGAGCTGGCTATAGGCTATGAGCTATAATGGCTATGAGCTGACTAGGTTCTAAGGCCGTCTAAGCCAATGGGTCTCAAATTTTATTGTGATCAGAAGCATTTGGATAACTTACTGAGACAATTTTGGATTCAGCAGGTCTGGGATGGGGCCCAGGAATCTGTATTTCTAATTCTTTCCTGACTGATGCTATTGCTGGTCTGAGGACCATACTCCGAGAACCACTGCTGTATAGGGCCTTGAACTATATTTTATCCAGTGGTTCCCAAATCTAAACGTACATGCCAACTGACTGGGGCCGTTACAAACGGCCTAGACATCCATAAGAGTAAGTCAGTAGTTCTGGGTCCAGGAAATCTGTGTATTTTTTTTTTTACCAAGTTCCCCAAATGACTTGATATAACTGACTGCCAACCTGTCGTGGCAAAAACGGACACTTTTTTTTAAATAAAAAAAAAAAAATTAATGTTTATTTTTAAGGGGCGGCACGCAGGTAGGGACAGAGAAGAGAGGGAGACACAGAATCGGAAGCAGGCTCCAGGCTCTGAGCTGTCAGCACAGAGCCCGATGCAGGGCCTGAACTCACGGACCTCAAGATCATGACCTGAGCCGAACTCAGAAGCTCAACCGACTCAGCCACCCACATGCCCCGCAAACTAACAGGTTTTAAGTAAGGAAGTATCATGGTCAGATCTGAATCTTGGAAAGATAGCACCGGTCTCAGAGAATCTGGCACCAAAACTCCAGCTCCGACAGTTACATCCGTCCCTGTGGGTGGATCTGGGGTCCTTCTACCTGAATGGCATCAATCAGAGCCTTGCTTGATCCTGAGAAGAGTACAGATTCCTGCACTGATTAGCAGTCACCCCGCCAAAAGGGCAGAAAGAGGGCCCTACATCCCAGGCAGCTGTTCCCTATGAGATCCGTTCAACCAAAGTCCGGAAAACTCAGAAAGGTACCAGGTGCCTCAGGGCCCAATTCAAAGCTAGCTGAGGACAGGGATCCTGGGAAGGACACCGGAGTGTAACTCCTTTGAAAAGCTCACTGGTTCATTCACACAATAGAGAACCGCAGACCGTTAGTTTGCAAACTGATGGGTAAACCACTGTATGGTGGACCCACCCAACACCATCAGAGAGACAAGACCCTGAAGTTATGAAAACCAACACAGTAAGTAAGTAAAGCATTACAGGCCGGGCCAGAGGAACCCCTAGCTACCAAAACTTGAAACTGAGTCATTAGAGGCCGCAGGCCCTCCACAGGCATTTTTCACTCACTTCTTTGGACTGCTACCCCCCGTGGGCACTCCTGCGGATCCAGAGCAGCCGGTTCCCAATCATCGGTATTTCGTTCCAACCAGGAGATGAGGGCTGGTTTGGGACCTGCGCACCCTGGGGAAGGAGAACCAGTCAGACGCCCAGCTCCTAGATAATGCTGGGTAAATACCTACCCGGTGTCATCTCCTGCCAAGACCCTGTCCTCCTCCCCTGACACAACCTGGTCGCAGGCCAGGTCCCTGGACACTCTGCCGTCCCCCCACCCCCCCCCCCCCCCCAAGCTCCTCCATCCCTTCGGGCCCCGCGGAAGCGAATTGGGCCGGGCCTCACCGAGCGCGCCCAGGTGGCCGTAGGTCTCCCGCATCACGTCCCGGTACAGGGCCCTCTGCGCGGGGCGCAGACACCCCCACTCCTCCGTGGAGAAGTACACGGCCACGTCTGCGAACTTCACCGCCCTCGGCCTCCTTCCCCTTCTCCGGCCGGGTCTGGCCTCTCCTGGTCCCCGCGCAGAGAGCGGAGCCGAAGGTGGCGCCATTGGACCCCAGAAGCCGGCGCCACGGCCTTCCCCGTCTCGGCCTGGACCCCTGGCGGACCCGGAGATTTGGGAGCCCCCGCCGGACCGGGGCTGAGTGTGCCTGGGGAGGCCCGGAGGGAATCGGAATTGGCCGCCTTGCAGGGCTAACGGAAACCTTTCGCTGTTATTCAGGAAACTCCTGCCCGAACTTGGGTGAAAGGCACCGGAAGATGCCTTCGGGGAAGATGGCGGCGCTGCTCCCGCACCGCCTTAGCCTGGAACACAGGCAGCTTCCAGCTATCGATTTTATTGACCGGAGCGCCATGCCGGCTTCCTAACCTCTTTGCCCTCAAGTGTGATGGCGCTGCGATTGGGCTTCACGCCCTTTTTCCCCCCATTACACGCGCTCATTGGGCAGCGGCCGAAGATCGAGCTTCCTGATTGGGTGCTGTCGAAAGCGGCCTGTTTAAACGAAGCCAACGGAAGCGTAAGGGCAGGAAGCCGACCTTTCAAGCCGGGTGCCTCTGGCCGGTTCTGAGTCCGGCAGCTGTGAGCTAGCCTGGCGTCGCTGACGGGCCCCTATTCTCTGGCACGCGCTGCCTCGCGGAGGGAGGGAAGGATTTGAGTGACGGAGCCACTCCGGCCAGCCCGGGGCTGAGATTACCCCGGGTGACCTTCTCAGAGAATTGGATAACTTCCTTGTTGCCTTTTGGGGAGGGAAATTAACGTTGGCGTTTCCTGCGCGCAGGCACCATTCCCCTCTAATAAGAGGGGATCTTATTTATTCTTTGTTACTATTGTGTGAAGTCGTTGGTGGTCACCATCCAGTTCTACCGATGAGGAAAATCTCAGAGGGATACTGCTAGTAAGGAGAACCAACAGATTTAAACCCAGGGCCGACCCGGTCTTCATTCATACCGCAGAACACGACCCCCTGCCCCGCACTATGCGAATTCGCTGGTCAACTCAACAATCAGAGCTCCTGGCCTGTTTCCAGGTTCAGTCTTATGCACATCTCCGTTCCTTATTTTTACATGACATTTGTTCAGTGTACAAAGCGTAGTGCTAGGCAGTTTGGAAATAAGTCATGAACCATGCTCTGAATGAAGATTGTAGTTGAGTGAGGCATATAAATTTACAAATGAACAGAGTGCAGCAAGCATGTATGTGAAAGGCATAGGAAAATTGCTGATGTAACCAGTCGGCTCCCACTCCATCAGTCCCGACTTCTGTCTAAGTGGTGTTGTTCAGGGTTTCACCAGCTCAGGGTCATCTCCCAGGCGATCTAGGGGGCAGAGAATATGCCATTTGCTACATACCTCAACTGGTGACATCTCTCTCTCCAACCCATTGATCAATTTGTTAAAGCACCTTTTATGGATAAAACGCTATCCCAGAGCTGACCAGGAGTGAAGACAACATTTCAGGAATTCACAAGATAACCTTGTGAGGTAGTAAAGCTTTCTGAGGAAGATGACTTTTGAACAGAGGAGGTAGGGAAAAACAAAACACACCAACAACAAAATGACAGTAAACACTGAGTTCTACTCTGTCCCAAGCATAGTGACTGTCTATTGAACAAACTACTGGAGCAAGTGGAATGTCAAGATTGCCAAAATGAATAAGACAGAATCCCTGCTTTGAATGACTTTCCAGACTGATGCATCAAGTGGGAAATGAGTTTGGTCTATGAATGGGTGGAATTCAGAGAGGGCAGCAGTGCTCAATGTATATTTGTTGAGTAAACAGCTGAATTCCATGACCATAAACATCTCTGATACAAAGCCAGGAATTCAGGAAAGTTCTGAGTGTGAAGGGAATGAGGACATTTTCTGATGCAGTGCCAGATACTGTTAGGGTGAAACAAGGATTGAGGGGCCCCTGGGTGGCTCAGTCTGGTAAGTGTCCAACTTTTGGTTTCAACTCAGGTCGTGATCTTAGGGTTTGTGAGTTCAAGCCCCCCGTCAGGCTCTGTGCTGACAGCGCGGAGCCTGCTTAAGATCCTCTCTCTCTCTCTCTCTCTCTCTCTCTCTCTCTCTCTCTCTCCTTCTCTCTTCCCCTCCCCTGCTTGCACTCTCTCCCTCTCTCTCAAAAATAAACAAACATAAATAAAATAAAAACCCTGAAGGATTGAAAGGATAGGTTGACACCAGATATTGGATGGTTTCATCCTGCACATCGGGGAGCTCTACACCGGTCTAAAGAAGTGAATTACCTTCTGTTAATATTTTAAGAGAATTACTCTGATAGTGTGCAGGGCAAACTGATAGCTTTGTGCCACACATAGTTCAGTTTGGAGAAATCAGAAGGTAAACGTAGGCTGCTGAGGGAATAAAAGGGCTAACAGACAGCAAACTATTTCATTGGGAAGACAACGAGTAAACAGAGAAGGTTGGGAAGGAATCAGACTTCCTCTGTGGATATTTTGCCTAAATGGTAATGATGCACTGTCAACGATGCTGACATTGATTAGGAAAGAAGATGGTTAAATACTGAGGAGAAAGAGTGTTAAGCCCTCTTCCCACATACAGGAGATGGCAAGACAGGCTCAGCCTCGCCCTTTTGGCCCTGGGCTGGAAAGGCCCCATTTGGCCTGGCTTGCCAAAGATGATCTTGGCCAAGGTGATCTTGGTGGGAGCCACTAAGGCAGAGCCTAGGAATCAGGCAGAGTCAGGTGCTCTTACCTATAGGGAAACATTTCGGAGAGAGATGCACCCAGGACTTCATGTGAAAGCAGAGGCCCTTGCCCCCTTCTGTATAAATTCCTGGATTCACACTGGGCACAGGGACACGCGGGGCTCCTCCTGCAGAATGTCCACTGTAGAGAAGGATGGAGAAGATCCAGGGAGTCTACACACTAAGAGGCCACCAAAGACCCCCTGTTTGGGGTAAAGGGAAATGGTGTTGAAAGCCAGCTAGGTCCCAGGTGCCACCTCGTAGGCACATCGAGATAGATAACCACGGTGGAAATTCACCTTCCAGAGTCCTTTATGAGGATGGTTAGCAGACAGTTGAGCAGACTGCCTGTTAGTAAAGGTGGGGATGAGATTTGAAGCTGGAGAATGTCCTCTGCCTTGCACTGGCAGCTCTAAACTGGGTGAAAGGCTCTGAGCGTCATTTCTCCTTGTTTCATGCTCAGTGAGAGGAAAGCATCAGGCAGTGCAAACTTCTATTTCCCTAAAATGCCATTGCGCCATAAACCCAGACTCCAGCAAGCAGTGTTAGTCCTGGGACAAAGTCATGGGTAATGATGGAATCTTCCCGTTCCTTAACAGATTCTTGCAGTCCAGTTCCAACCTGTCCATTTCTGGGTGACGTAACTCGCTGGTACATTTCCGATTACCTCTATATCCTGCTCTCTGAAGGAGGACTCCAAGGCACCTATGGACTTTGTCACTTTGTACACCTCCCCCTTTTTTCCTTTCTCTCTTGCCTCCACCCGCTCTGAGTGGTGAACGCTTGACAGGAAACAATGTCTTCCATCATAAACCCCTTCGCAGCACTTGACCCCAGTCACCCACACTCCTGGAATGTATCCAATAGTGGACATGAACTGAGGGTCTTGATCCCCAAGGGAGGAGGCTGGCTCAGGGCTCCCACACCTTGGCCCTTCCGTGTATCCCTGATGGATTCCATGGTGGGCTTTCTGGGCATGCTTCCTCTTGGAGCTTTTCCCACATTCAGTGCAGGGAAAGGGCCTCTCATGAGAGTGGATGTGCCTGTGGCTGAGCAGGGAGGAGTGCAGGAAGCAGATGCCACATTCTGGGCAGGAGGAAGGTTTCCCCAGGTGTGCGTGGGCATCTGTGAATGGTCAAAGGAGCCTGTGGCAGGAACACCGCCTTACAGCCACAGCACCAGAGGGCTTCTTTCCCGTGTGGATAAGCTGGTGCTGGAGCAAATTTTTTTGGTGAGCAAAAGTGAGTACCACACTATAGACCATGGTATGGCAGTGTTTACTCAAGTGCATAAGCAGGTGGTTGGCCGGGAGGCGGGTATGCAAAGTCGCACCCCCAGTCTGCCCACATGTCTGCACTTATGGGCACCCAGGGCGCTTCCCCGGGTGGAGGCAGCGGGTGCAGTCAGGACACGGGTGTGCCCTATGTGGAGCAGCTGGTGCTAGATCAGGTGAGTCCTCCGGGAAACGGGGACACCACAGGAGCCACTCACACGGGGACAGTCACCGGAGTGGTCTGTCCGTGTCTAACAGTGAGGGGGTGGCAAAGAGCTGCCCACAGTCCAGACTTGCATAAAGCTTCTTCCTTCTGTAGGTGGCCAGGGCCCTACTTTTTCAAAGGCAGCAGCCACACGGCAGGGGGGGTGGGGGGGGGGAGACGACTGTCTCACCTGTGGACGGGCAGATGGTGGGGCAGGTTCTTGCACTGAGAGAGCAGCATCCACATTGTCACAGGGAAGGCTGCCAGCACAGTAGGCCTGCTGGTGTCTGGCCAGGAGGAAGAGGACAGCCAAGACTCAGGTAGGGTTTCTTCGGAGCCAAACAGCACTGTTGTCCCATAGTTCAGGAGCCCTGAGGTGATATCTGGCCATACCCCCTGGTTCAGGGCCCCTGGTTCTTCAAAGGACTCCTGCCATGCTGCCTAACCAGTCAGCCTCTCTCACACAGGCTCCTTAAGCTTCTTCACCTCCATTTCCCCCTTCTTTTCTTTACTCTTGCTCTCTGCAGAGACAAGAGAATCGGAACTAAAGATGGTGGGGTGCTCTGAATCGCCACTGGTGGGGCAGCACTGGAGACCGAGTGCCTGTTCGCTCAGGGCAGGAGGATCTAAGTGTGAATCCCCGCGGGGGCCGCGGCCCCTCCACAGCGATCCCCCACCTGCCTCAGGCAGAAGTTTCTAGTTTTCAGAAAAAGTACCATGCCTTCTCACTCCAGGCTTCCAGAACCATAGAGGGTTCCCATAAGGAAGGGCTGAATTCTTTTCAGAGGTAAGCCGGCACCTCTCCCTAGTGAAAGACCTTAAATACGGACATGTCAGTGGAAACGTTCCTCAAAAAACAGACCTCAGTGCCGTCTGAGCACACAAAAACACCTGTCTGCATCCTCAATGAAAGGTGGCAAGGCTTTAAATTCTATAGAGGGCTCTAGGCAGCTTCAAAAGGCAGGATATGCCCTGAGAAACAAGGCCAGGCCAAGAAACCGAAGTGAATGTCTGGTCTCTTTCCAAGGCCAGTCAGAAATACATCATGCATATTCTCTAGGCTTAAGTTAATTAAAATGAAAATTTCACTTCCTCGGGTACACTAGCCACATTTCAAGTGCTAAATAGACACATGTGGCCGGTGGCTTTTGTGTTGGTCACCACAGATACAGAACATTCCCATGACTGAAGAAAGCTCTGTTGGAAGCAATACTCTTAAACACTCAGCAGAAAGAAGGCGAAAGAACCTAAATCCCCAACTGTTGTCTCGCCCCAACCCCCAACTGGAACCAACGGGACTGGCTACCCTTGAACACAAGGAAGCCTCCCGGTCTGGGAAAGAGAACTTTAGAAGAGAAAGTCCATCGGATTCTTATGAATTGGGGTATTTAAAGAGAAGGGTGCGGTGTAGCTGTGGCTGCCGAAAGAAAGGGCCTACCCTGGCTCCCTCCCAAGAGAGGTTGACTTCCAGCTCAGCCCCCACTTTCCTCGCCTGTCCCAGATCCCGAGTGCCTTGCCCCCTCCTTCTTGGACTCCCCGCTCCACGCCTCCTACTTTCATCTCCAGGAAATGAGGGCGGGTTTGGGGCCTGCGAATCCCAGGGGAGAACAGGCTGACAGAGGACTGGGTGAGAGGATGAAGCCTAAAGAGTGGGCTTCCTCTACAGGGGCTGTTACAGCCTCCTGAATCCTACCGGAGAAGACCCTCCCCAACAACAGACACTCAGACGCGCCCGGACCGAAGCCTACCAGTACCTCTTTTCGCTAAAACGGGGACAAGGGGAGGGCTGGGACTTTCCGATCGCGCCCAGGTAGGCAGTCCTGGGTCAGCCGCATCACTTCCCTGAAGACAGCCCAGTGCGCCGCACCAGAGCCTTGAAGCCTTCGCCCTCAACGATAATGGCGCCGCTGGACTTCACGCCCTTCTCCCTCCCGTGCACAGT